GAATGGCAACGTTAAATGAACCTGAACATATCGAAATTAATTAAATCAAATTGTTTAAGTGGTATTTTCAAAAGTCAATAACTCGGAAACGGTTGGTTTGAGGTACATTGTGTGTATTTCGATTTTTGCTTAGAATCGATGGAAGAATTGAAATATGTAATAATATACAGGGGGTTCCACTTAAAAAAATGAAACTTTGATGTGCCACGACTTTATGACCGACCCTGTATACTTAAATTTATTACTCGCTAATAGATATTTAAAAATCCTATAACTTCTGTATTTAACTTTTTGCGGTACCTCCTATACTTTACGTAATAATCGACCGTTTCCATACACAACAGTGACCCTGTATATAATGTATGCGTGTAAGTTTGTAGCTACTTTCTAGAAGCTACCTTCTAGAAGTACCTAAGAATTTTGATGAATAATAATAATTGATAAATAATTATTCATAAACGTTGAATTATTGTTGTTATATTGCGTCTCAAAAGTGACTCACCCCTATAACTTTTTTTATTTTTTCAGTTAAAAAAACGAGATTTGGTGTGTTAGTATATGACATAAATTAGGATTGATTCTTCTTCTTTCAGTTCCTATCCTCTATGGATGTTGGCAATTATGTTGGTCTACATAATCCTGACAGCCGCACAGTGGGGTATTTGACACAGATAGTTGATCGAAATTTTTTTATGTAGACCTTATATAAATTATTGCTATTTTCAATTAAAGAGGAAATAATATGAACAAAATAAAGGATAATTCCTCGATTCTAGAAATAGAAAGAAAAATCACTGTTCCAGTGTTTCCACGGTCAATGCCACTAATGCCAGTAGTAATATCGCAACTAATACTACTAATGCTACGACTGATCCGCGAGCAATGCCCATACCACTAAAGTCGCTACTAATACCAAATTGTGCTATACTGCTAATGGCACCAATGCGATCGCTTTGTACACAACAATGCCACCGCGGTTTACACCTCGCATTAGTATATGACTGATTGGCAAATTAGAGAAAACCAAGAATGTTTTTCTCATTTTATCAGCAAAGTCGCAAAAAGTCGCAGTATTTTATTTTACTGTATGAAAGCCAAATGTTTACTAAGTAAAACGTATATAGACAATATGCTGGATTCTTCGAAATGCGCAACTAAATCTCTAAGTATAATAAAAATGTCACAAATTTAATCAAATTTTCTGAACGCCTAACTTTTAGTTGCAAAAAAATCGTTAGTATAGAGAATATCAAAATAAATAATACGTTTTTGTAGAATACATACCTGCAGCTTGCTGAGCCATTTTCAATCAAAACAATAATATAAACGTAAAAAGAGCACAAGAACAACAACAATTTATAATTTTAAACATAAAATTTTGCCATATACCTCTTATCCATGATACAAAGAATACAAGGTATGATATTGCGCAGGTTGGTCACTACGTCACAGGTGATAAACGGCACTATTGGTCGGCAAGCTCTACGCGCCAATTTCAAATTGTCAAATAGATTGTGTCATCTGTGAAATTTGATTGTGTCAAAATGTGAAAATAATTTTTTCAAATGTCAAGCTCGATGTCAAAACATAACTTTTGGGGTTATGTCCTAATTCTTCCCTATTTTAGGTCTTTTTTTATTAGTGGCAATGAGGTTATAAGGGGGGGAGGCGACATAAGCTATCGAGAAATGTACCCAGTTACGCCATATTGGTACTGGCAATTCTGACAGTTCAGTTTTTGAGGTTAAGTGCGTTGCTGCGAGTGTTTTTTTAATTTTCCAAGACTATCTTTGTGTTTTTATTTGAATATTTGGACTTTCCGAACATGTCTTCGTGTGCTGTAAGTAGTTGTTGCAGTCGACAACATGTAGAGAGGAAGAAATCCACTGAAATTGGTGTTGAATCACAGGTAAGTGTAAACATAATACAGGACCTGATTAAATTATTTTCGTATTTTCCATTTAACTAGTTATGCGTTTATTAATTAAATATTAAGTGTTTCTATATTGACAAAGTGTTTAGTTATTTAATACTTTGTTAGAGGCAATTAAGTAATTAAAACATGCCTCGACTTTTACTCTTGTAAAAAAAATTCTTAACAATATCTGTTATTTTTACTACATATACTTTTTTTGACAGGAAAGAGTAATTTGCTAGGCCAAATTTGAAAGTTTTGTTTTAACTACGGTTCATTTTTCTATTTTTACACTAAGATTTTGTACTTAAACATTTATTTACATTCCTTTTTAGCATCTGCTAGCATATACTATGTACAAACTTTATATATTATAGCTTTAATTTTTAGATAAATATTATAAAATCAACAAAGTAAATTTACTTTTTGCAGATAAAGTCTTAACAACTTATATTTATTGATAAACGTTTATTATTTTAATAAAATTTTATATCAGAACATTTTAAGTTTAGTACGTAGTATATAAATTTTGCTCTCTTTAGAAAATTTTTATCAAATAAATATTATATTAAATCTGATTTTTAGGTTTCAAAATTCCCATCCGTCGAGAAGCTTGGGTGAAGTTTGTGAACAGGAGAAATTGGCAAGCTACATCAGGTAGTGTTCTATGCTCGAAACATTTTTCTGATAGCTGTTTTGACAGAACATCTCAATAAAATATCTCAAATAAATAATCATTTCCTAAGATTTCTAAATTTTAATGATTATCAAAATGTTAATTATGGTAAATCAGTAATCATGTTTAATTATTTTCCGCTTTTTTTCTATTTTTTTTAAAAAATGTTAAGGTTATTATTGTTAGATACATCAATAAAAACAAGGCAATTAGTTTAAAACATACTAGCAACAAAACAGTGTTATTTAGTGAGCAATAAAATTTAATTTATTTAATGTGTATTATTTTTTTGTGTTTCCTCATAAATATACATAGTATATAGTCATTAAAATTAATCTTGTAATTTATATTTTTGAAAAAATTGTAGGTTTTGTAGTTATTTTGATTAATTAATTTTTTATTTAAAAATGTTGAGGTCGTTATATTGTGTAAAATAAAATTTTTCAAAGAAGTTTCTGTAATCCGGCCCTGCTAATGCCGCCATATTGGTGCTGGCTTAAGCCACGCCTAGTGTTACCATTTTTCGCAAGCACTTTAAATGCTCATAGCGTCTCCCTGTATATAACCTCATTGATTAGTGGCAATTGAACAATATGAATATATTTTTTGTACGGCGTATGACGTCACAGGTGGTATGCGCAAACTTAACGAAATTGGAGCCGCTATCGATCATACCTTGTTTTTTTTGTACCATGCCTCTTATCTGTGAGAAGTAACAACTTTGACGTTTCGTTGAAACAAATGAATGCAACTAAACACACCCATATCAACGCCATTCATGGCAGACATGATTTAACTTATCATTTATCTTTTTTTGGAAAATCTTAAACACATTTGGTTTTTCGAATTTCGATCACCTTTTTCATGCTAATACCACCGTACATAAAACTCGGTGAGTTTTATGTACCAACTGAGTTTTATGTACGATGCTAATACCCCACCGTGAGCCGCCCTGAATAAATGTACGGTCGTTATTCCCGTCCACTGTCTAATATTTTTCAGCCATGATGTTCGTCGGCGTCCCTGACCTCTTCTAATATCTATTTTGCCCTGCAGTATCAGTTGGATATCAGTTGGTTACTACAGATTTTATAGGATTGATTGACGTATTCAATTGTTTTCGGTCACTTCCTGTTCCACCGAAAATGACTACAACTTTTGATTTTTAAATGACACCCTCGATATTTTTTTACTTTATTCGATAGAAAATACACTCTGAATAGAATGACATATCGTATGTCAACTTTTGACATTTTCGTATATATGGTTATTTGAAATTATAACTTTATTCGTAATTTGGTTCGTAACCAAAATTTGGATCGAAATACCAAAAGTGTGTGGTATCAAATTATTCATAAAAATGGTTTTTCCAAATATGCTAATGTGCCACCCTCGTTCCATTTGAAAAAAATTGAATATTATTAAAAATACGATTTGGGCATCTTTTAACCGGCCAGGACAAGTCACTAAAAACATTAGACGATCAAATATATTTTTCCAAGGCTCCTTGATTAAAAATTAGTGTTTTTAACTCTAGATTGAAATTTAAAATACAATTTTGTTTTAAGCGAAAATGTCAAAAGTTGACATATTATGATATGTCATTCTATTCGGAGTGTCATTTTCTATAAAATAAAGTAACAAAATACCGAAGGTGTCATTTAAGAACAATTGAGTACCTACGTCAATCAATCCCTAATTTATGTCATATACTAACATACCAAATCTCGATTTTTTATCTGAAAAAATAAAAAAGTTATAGGGGTGACTTTTGAGACTCAACCGGTATATTGGCTTCAATTGCGCAACTAAGTAATCGGCCGACTAAAAATTGCCTAGCCTTATCACTCACCAATATTATCATTGAAATGGGGCAACGGCCCAGCTACGTCGAAACACCGGTTCCCATTAGAACACCGAAGTTAAGCAACGTAAGGCGATGCTAGTGGATGGACGGGTGACCGGTTCGAAACTTTGCATCGTGCTGTTGTCCAAAAGGGAAAAGTGTAAAATCTATTGATACACACTGCTCATTCACACCGGTTCAAGGTCGGATGAGATCGGATATCTCGTGAGTAAGAGTTAATTTAGACTCTTCCTAAGTCGGTAGGCCATTGACCATGATATGGCCGAGGACCGCGGTTCGGATTCCGCGTAAACAAGTAGGTCCCGTCCAGTTTAGCCATTGCAGCAGAAAGGAGACGTTAACTTGAACCTCACACATCATTGAAATGAAACAAAATAATCAGTTGAATAAATTACGGATGATAAAAAAAACGGCGTCCAGTTAAATCAGTTTACATATAAAATAACAGCAAGCTACTTTAAAATCAAAATCATAGTTATCGTCGTTTGTTTTGATCATATAACTTGTATAAAATAATAAAATTTACATTTAATTAATTTCAGGGAAAGTCGAGTAATGCAGATACCTATATCTGACTCAGCATATGTCGTCCAAGACAGAGCTGATCCGGATATAAAAGAAAGCAAAGTTACACCTGGCAAAATAATCTCAAATAATAGTTATAGGCCACCTATAACAAAACCAGCGCATCGACAGGTTTCAGAAACAGATTTGTACCTTTTAGGGGCTATAGAGAAACTTGTATATAAAGTAGACTTTATGGAGAAAAGATTGAGAAAAGTGGAAGAAATGTTGTACTTTGTTATGGCTGGTAACAGAATCGATACAGGTAGGCATAAAGTACCGTATGATCGAAAAAAACGGCTTAGGAATGACAATCGATGATAATTTTGGCGAGGTCGATCTCTAGGTCATTTATTAAAAATTGACCTAAAACTTATCAAAAAGTGACACTAATTACGGAAAGATTAAAAAAGAATAGACATTTTTCAGACACAAATCTATTTTAAAAAATATATTTTCTTGAATTTTAAACTACAGTATTTAAAAATCATTTTTAATAAATATAAAAATAAATTACAGCCTTGTTAAGGCCATAAAAGCAAAGAAAAGTACGGGTTAAAAATATGACGTCTTGGACTTGACCTCGCCAAAATTATCATCGATTGTCATTCTCCAGCCGTCTTGACGCCGTTTTTTTTTCAATTGTATGGTACTTGCGATATTTATTAGAAAATAACAAATCTCATAGCTACAAAAATATCTTTTTTACATATGTTATATCTTTATAGTCTTCATTTCGAACATTTAAGAGTCAGAATGTTTCGTCGATATAAAATCATACTCGTATGGTTTGGTTTGGTTCTTTGTTTGTATTTGAAAATATAATATTGTTTATGCTTAGGCACTAGGCACAATAAAGCACTTTTACGCTTTATTTTTATGCCTAGGCGTTAAAATGGCTTTTTTATATTGTCAATCACGTCGCAAAAATTAATACTTTTGTGACGTTTGAAAAAATAGTTTATTGTTTTGTTAGGAGTAAAAATGACACTTTATGCGGCGAGGCTGCCTACGCTTGACGAGCGTGAGAGAGTCCGACATACAGGCGAGGCAAAAAAAATAATTTTTACTCCGAATAGAACATGCTATTTTTTTTTTCAAACGCCACAAATAATTTTTAAACAATTTCAAATTTTCCAAATAATATAGAAAAAATTAAAAGTACATAATACCTTATACAGTACGTCTGTCCGTTCTGTAGCTACGGGGTATCTGTGAGAGGGGAAACGATATTCTCTCGATGTTTTTTGTAAAAAATGAGACGACGCGTCCCATCAATAAAAATTCGACAAATTTGCAAGTAGGCAATAAAATGAGTGGGCGGAGCAATTTGCGATGACGTACTCGTCAAGTCGACGTATAAAATATATGACGTTGTTTATTTAAACGTTTTTTGTCCGCATTCCTTTCATAGACACAGATCCAGCAGACGTACTGTAAGTCATTATACAGGGTTGTTCACCACATACGACACGGAGTATTGTAGCTAAACGATGAGATTTTTACAAATTGTAAGTTTGGGGTTCGTTGAAGGACTATTAGAGCTACAATTTAAAAATATTTTTACAAGATACAGAGTGTCCCAAATAAATAAAAAATATCAAAGTTGTATTTTTTTAAATGGAACACCCTGTATATTATTACATTTTAGTTTCTACGATTAAAATAAAAGGTAAATTTGATTAAGGTTTATTATACTTAAACCTTACCGTTTTTGAAATATTTTCAATTTTGTGAAATTGCAGTAAACATTTTAAGCTTCATTTCTCAAGGGTATCAATGTTTTAATACTAAATATTTAATGAAGTTTATTTATTGATCAGTTATTATGTTGCAATAATAAAAATAATACTACCTTATACAGAGTGTCTAAAAATTTATTTAAAATAATTATTAGCTTCAAACGGCAATAACTTCTTTAATTTAAATAGAATGCCCTGTATATTTTAGGAGAATCAGATGCACAATTAAATTGTCTATCAAATTGTATTATACCATTTTTACCTATCCCTTCAAGTTTTCGTAGAAAATGCATTTTCTTATAATTTAGACCTCATTTATCAATATATCCATGGAATATTGACATTTTAGATTGTTTTTAAAGCAACAAATGTACAAAATGTACAGACTAGTAATATTTTTCGTTTTAGCAAAACGATAATATTACTAGCCCATTTGTATGCAAAAAGAAAACTATTTAAATCTTTAGTATTTGGAGCATTATTATTAATCAACGCATAACAGTCAGTTATTGTAGCCCGAATACTGGAATCATATTAATTGATCCTCTTTAACAAATATTATAAACAAATGTTTATTTTTTAATGAAATAAACGAATTATAAGTCGACAATATTACTATCTGTACTCTTTATAAATAAGCATTTATTAAAAATGAAATATCATTTTTAAGGTGTTACTTTTATCACACTGTCTAATGCCCATACAAAATTCAGTTTTTAGTATTTGGAGCAATTATTATTAATCAACGCAAACAGTCAGTTAATATAGTTTGAATACTGGAATCATATTAAATTAGTATTGGTACTCTTTAAAAATTTGGTACATCTTTAAAAATAATCTAAAATGTCAATAGTCCATGGGTATATTGATAAATAAGTTCTAAATTACAAGAAAATGCATTTTCTACAGAAACTTAAAGAGATAGGTAAAAAATGGTATAATATAATTTGATAGACAATTAAATTGTGCATCTGATTCTCGTAAAATATACAGGGTGTTCCATTTAAATTAAACAAGTTATTGCCGTTTGAAGCTAATAATTATTTAAAATAAATTTTTAGACACTCTGTATAAGGTAGTATTATTTTTATTATTGCAACACAATAACTGATCAGTAAATAAACTTCAGTAAATATTTAGTATTAAAAACTTTGATACCCTTTGGAGAAATGAAGCCTTAAAATTTTTACTGCAATTTCACAAAATTGAAAATATTTCAAAAACGGTAAGGTTTAAGTATAACAAATCTTAATCAAATTTACCTTTATTTTAATCGTAGAAACTAAAATGTAATAATATACAGGGTGTTCCATTTAAAAAAATACAACTTTGATATTTTTTACTTATTTGGGACACTCTGTATCTTGTAAAATTATTTTTAAATTGTACCTCTAATAGTCCTTCATCGAACCCAAAACTTACAATTTGTAAAAATCTCATCGTTTAGCTACAATACTCCGTGTCGTATGTGGTGAACAACCCTGTATATCGAAAAACTATGGTTATGCTCGTTAAATTTGACACTTTATGCCAGTTTAATAATATATTTTCGTACTTTTATGCTTAGGCGTAAGTGCTTTACTTTTATGCCCAGGCGTTAAAATTATTTTTTTAGATTGTCAATCACGTCGCAAAAATTAACACTTTTGTGACGTTTGAAAGAAAACACATTTTCTGTTTGTTTTGGTATTTATGAATTTTCTGTGAATCGTCATTATCGGTGTATTTTCGATTTTAAATCTCATACCCACTTTAATGTAAAATACAGGTTGATCGAAATTGGTCTGTTTTAACAGAGAAAACCTATTTGTTTATATAATATAAATATTTGTATTATATAAAAATAAAAATATATTCCCTAAAACTTCAACTCCTTTTATTGGATTAATTCAACTTTATGTATTTTTTAACTGTACTATTTTTTGTATTTCAGATCCATGTGTTGAAAATTTTACTAGAGTTGGTAAAAATTGCTATATGTTTGCGAGTGCAGCCGGTAGAGAATATGACTGGAAAGCAGCTAGCAAACATTGTAAAAAAATTGGTGCTGTTTTAGCAGAAATGGAAACTATAGAAGAAAATCAAGATGTAGTTGCCCATATTCAAACCAACAATTATTTAAAAGGCAAGTAAAATTATGTAGTATAATAAGTTTACTTTAGCTAAATAATGCAGATATATAAAACTTAAAAATTGAATTACAATAGTATTGAAGATTTCTTCGTTTTAAATACATATACACGGGGTTACAAAAAAAGTCCAAACCCGGCGAAATATCTCAAAAACCGGTAGGTAATGCTATGTTTTTGAAATTTTAGACATGTGGTACAATGTACTATGATGTTGCCAGATTTATCGTTGATCCAATAACAATGCAAACTTTTGTTCTTTGAATACAATGCCCTCAATTTTATTACATTTTTAAAATCCACTTAACTAATATTTTAATCTAATTCTCCAAACCTCTTCTATACCTAACTTAAGCCGTTGCAGGGTAAAATAATAATATTAAAAACAAAAAAAAATGGTAAAGATTTCAGTTAACGTCTCCTTTTTGCTGCCAGGGCTCATGTGGACGGATATTAAAAATAAATTTCCTATATTATAGAAAAACTAGCTCTTATTTATTTTCTAATAAATGTTCAAATTATGTTTCACTTATTTCCTGACAGTATGGTAGTCGATTGCGGACTTCATTTAAACTATTCTAAAAATATTGTTCTAAGATATCTTTTATTGCATACCTTATGCCCAATTTTAATTCTTCCAAATCATTAATCCGCTTTACTCATAACGATTTTAGCAAATTAAAACACTATTTACCACAATAAACCAAAACACTTTTACTTTAGCACTGGACGCGCGTTTCGCTAACCATGTTAGCATCACCAGAAGATGATTAAAACTAAACTAATATCTATAAATTGAGCGTTTATATGCTTGCTCAGTTGGCACCGAGTAGGCGTGGCAAAAACTAGCCAAGGGAGTCAAAACCACCCGAGCGTCGAGCGTAACAATTAGTTATCGAAACTAAAGCAGTAGGAACAGAGAAATGGAAGGAATTAGACCGTTGTCTCTGTTCGTACTATCTGTACATTTTTTAATTTTGACACTCTCATATGCATATAATTATCTGTAATTTGAGACTTATTTAATTAATTTTAAGTTATTAATAATTATACAATGTTCTTTATCAACAATAGATTGAGCAATGCAAGATTTGTCCGGTCTATCGCATCTTATCTGAGCCATAATATGTTCTTTAAATCTAGTTAATATTGATCTTTTAGTCTGCGCAACATTTTTTCTGATGGTGAATAGTGTTTTATTTTTGCTGTTGTTTACCAAGAGGTTTCAACCCCCAACTGTAATAAAACCATTTAAAGTAAAATTTTGAAATAACTTTACATTAGTTTTATATCAAGTTTATACAGGGTATCCCAGGCTGAGCGTGCATTAGAAGTTTCTAGATATCTACAATATCTAAATCAGAAATTTTTTGCACATCATTGTTTCACAACGAGATCTATCGATTAAAAATATTTTCAATATGGCGGCACTTCCGGAAATACCGGAACTTGACAGCAACTTTCTTATTTTAAATGGGTGCCCCCATTTTTTATTACATAGTTAATTTTTTTTGTAAAATTTTTCGGATTTTGATATTAAACACTCTATATCTAACATTAACAGTTTTTGAGAAAAAAACAATTGATATTGACGACATGTGACTATCTATTTCAAAAATTAAATTATTCAAATGTCATATAATAATGGATGAATATGAATTGAGCTATTAGAAATGATAATAAATCATTTTTTCAAATGGAAACCCCCTTTTTTATTTCACTAGTGAAATGGTTTTTCAATTCAACTATACATGTTCACCTAAAATAAATCGTTTTTAAGTTATTTAAGATTTAGTTTTAAAACGTATATTTTTCTTGATTTTATCTAGCTTCCTTTGACATTAAGTGTCAAATAATCAGAAAATGTATTTCCATCTGTCAGAAAACTCATTTCTTCAATTTTCTAGATTTTAAATACTGCCTGCTTAAGAGTTTAATAGTGTATTTATAAATATAAGTTGATATTAATAATATTCCGTATGATCTAAAAAAACAGCGCAAAGTTAGCTCGGAAATTATGCTGCTTTTTGAACAAAGCCTCACAATAGGGCATGGCCAGATCTATTGTTTTACATCACTTGACGTTTAAAGTCATAGGCTACTGGTTAAAATCAAGAAAAATGTACGCTTTAAAACTAAATCTGAATTAACTTAAAAACGATTAATTTTCGGTATGTATAATAACATGTATAATCAAAAAGTAACGAATTGGAAAACCTTTTCACTAGTCACCCACTTTTTGGGTTTCCATTTGAAAAAAACTATTTGCGATAATTTCTTTATCGCTCAATTCCATGACAGCTGCGACCATTATTATATGACATTCGAACAATTTAATTTTTGAAATAGATAGCCACAAGTGTTCTCTTTCTGTCGCAGTGGTTGTGGTAATCACTAAATTTGACGTTTAGGAAATACACATTTTTTTTTGAAGGCAGTTTTTTCGTCAAAAAATTTTAAATATTTTTTTTTCTCAAAAACGGTTAAAGTTAGGTATAGAGTGTTTGGTTTGGCGCCATTTTTAACCCAAAAGCCTAATATTTAACCCAATTTATAGATTTTAGGCGCGCCTTGGCCCCATGGCTCTCCCTCTGTATCCGCCACTGCCCCACGTCCACAATTTAAAAACATAACAGTACCGGTGTTTGAGATATTTAGCCGGTTCCAGACTTTTGACTAACCCGGTATATATATATATATATATATATATATATATATATATATATATATATATATATATATATATATATATATATATATATATATATATATATATATATATATATATATATATATATATTTTATTTTCTTAAGAAAAACTGAGATTTCAAGCGGTTGAAAAAAATTATACAGGGTGTTCAAAAAACATGTGCCATCCCTAGTAAAGAGATTCCACCTCACGTAAAACTAAGATTTATTTTTCATATCAACATAGGTCCGATTTTTCTTTGTTTCGTAGCTACAGGGCATTAAAATCTATTTTTTCTTCGATTTATTATAATTTGCTTCGAAGCGCCTATAGCGATTAGAATGAGTTTGGTTGTGAAAGTTACTTTAAGTAAATAATGGGCTTGTTCCACATTTTTTTTTTTTATTTTGCCAATCGAAAGTACAACTAAAAAATAACAGATCTACCAAAAATTAGAATTTTATTCGTACGTTTAGTACCTCAAAAACACGTACAAACATCTATTGCGCGAGAAAGGGGCGTGGCCAGCCGCTACGTCATAGCACCACAGGTCGGCTGGCGACCGCGCTCGATACAAGGCACAGGTCTGCTTTGCCCGATTACAGAAAGTGTGTTTTAAATTTATAGTATAACGTAGTGTAGTACCCTTGTTTATAATACAAGGGTAGTACTAAAGTCTTTCTTTTATTCAATATTAGTGTAAAAAAGACGAGGAAACGTTGTGTAGTGCCAGAATGCACAAATACGAATAAAAATTCCCCAGAAAAACTATTTATTTCTTTACCGTCCGACATAAAGTTAAGACGAGCATGGCAGCATGCAATGCGAAGACATGATTTTGTCCCTGATAGAGGCACCATCAGATTTTGTTGTGAAGATCACTTTAATGTAAGTTAATACTTACAAGTAGTGTTTCCTATTTTTTTTAATATAGGTTGAAGAAGACAGAAAATTACATATATGTACTTAAAAACTATGAAATCGGGAAGAATAAAATTAAATCAGGTGTTATTCCTTACATTTTTTGAGTGCCAAAAAACGATCTTCTGCTTCAAATACTGTAAAGCCTCGAGGATTGGCGAAAAAAAGAGAACAAGCATTATTAAGGAAATATTAAAAGACGCGAGGCAGGAGGCAAATGAAAACTTTCATTTCGGGGCCAATACAGTAGACAAGGATCTTAAAATGCATGATCAAGAGCAATCAAGAGGAGCGCATTTCAAACCATCAAATTTATGCAGCCACATAAGAAATGCTACCGCGTGCTTGCACGTTCGGATGTGGCACAGTCATTACACTTTGCTTCTATTACACTTTTTTCACTAGTATTTATAATAATGCTTTAATTGTTTCTTACTTCTTAAACCTTTAGATAATATCCATATATTTTTTTTTTACTTTTTCTTGGGTAAAAAAACACAGTCATCACACTAGTTTATACAGACTGGTGCTAGAAAGGTGATTTCAAGAATAAAGTGCCTGATAAAGCCCACTATGTTGGAGCGAAACGTCGCATAAAAAAAATCTTTCAATTTATTAAAAAAACCTCATACCCCAGAAAAAGTAAAAAAAATATATGGATATAATAAGGCATTGTATATTATAATTTTTTGCATTAATTTTGTGCTCCAGTGTAATTTTTGCCACTACTTGTCATAGTGATTGCTGTTGTTTTAGCTGCACATATTATCCAATGGCATTATTACCATAATTTTGTCTGCCGGATCTGTAAGAAAAAAGTACATAGCTTACGTATCAGTTTTTACCTTAAAGTAGAAATATTTTTCTATAATATATATTTATTGTATTACGTCTTTTCGCGGACCAACCTCGAACTAGTCCTAGTCAATCACATATCTTAAAATCAATTCAGTATTTGTCAGCTGTATATGAAACCACTGATTTTTTCTGCTTCGTGAATTTTTCGAGAGAATATTTATTAATAATTGATATATTGATATGAATATTTATTAATAGTTTTCTACAAGCGTGTTAAAATGTTTTTCGCCACACTCCGATATATAATAATATTACTTTAAGCACTATCTTGCGTAGCTGGATATTCTGTGCTTTAAGGTACTACTTACGCTTTAAAATTTACTTTAGTCATTAAAGGAAACAAAAAAATATATATTTGGGGAAAGTCTCTTATTTACTTGTACAATTATTATGTATTAATTCAATATTAATTATATTCATATTCTAACTTAATTATATTATTAATATAAACAATAAACAATTGTTAATTCAATAATTAGCCGAGAAGCCTCAAAATGCTAATTAATTGTATTAATGTTACAAATAGAA